TGCAAATCGGTGCAAACCAGCCGACGCACACCGCGTTGCCTCCAAAGCCTCAGGATGGTCGGGGGTGGGTGCCGTGCGCTGCGGGTTGGCCTCCCTTCTGCACACCTCTTGAAATGCTCCCATATGACCGGGCGTCTTACATAGCCTCTCCTGAGGAAGTCCTACTCACTGCCTTCACGTGGCGGAGGTGTCTTTTCACCAAAGTGAGAGGGCGAAAGCGGATGCCCGGCGCTCTTCACCGGGTTGACTGTCCATTGGATGACAGTCTAGGGGAGATGGCTAAACCCTGATTCCAAACCTCCAACGACTGGCGTATGAAGCTCACTGGAGCTCACCGGAAGACGTATGGACAAAGGGCTTGTTGGATGTCCTGGATGTCTGGCCCCATTCAAAAAGGCGTATGAACCGAACTCCGGTCACCGGCTGCCAATGGATAGTGGACTCCCTACTCCACTCCTACTGCCTTGTAGGTCACACTTGGTTGTGTAAAGGCTAGAGCTGCACTCTCAAACAAAAGGCCGAGCGATTCTGGGGACATCACTCGTACCAAATTCTCATGAAACTTCATGAACTCTCATGTTCATGAAGCCGGCTCATCCTCCCGTAGGAGATAGCCGAAGTAAAGTAAAGTAAAGTAAGGTGCAGAGTTGTACTTTAACACTAGTCCAGTCCAGAAGTGGGTAATATCAGTAAATAATACATCAACAGATACTTTTAAATTTGGCTTCCTTAAACAAAATATAAGGAATTCTAACGGAATGTGTTGTAGGATTGATGGGCAGTAAGTAATATGCACTTTCTATCAAACCAAGATATTTTGATTATACTCAGTGTTTTCGACGATCTAGATAACATTTTTCGAATAAATTGTCTGAGTGCAATTATAAATCGATACTTCTATTTCTTTTTTTTAATTTTTTTTTAAAATTCAAACTGAAACACAAAAATGCTCAGTGTAATGGTAGTAGTAACAATAGATGCTTTTTTTATTTGTTTGTTTATGAATATACATACTAACAACAAACATGTTTATGTGTACATATTGTTTGCATCTTCGTTGACTATGACTCATTTGTATGTTACAAAAAAAAAAAAAGAAATAGTGGTTATGCTACACTGACCTCAATATTTGACAAAAGAATTCAAAAATGTATAAGTTAACAAAATATCTCTGAAATTTTTTTACGAACAAATGTTTAATGGATAAGAAATAGCTAGCTGTACAAAACCAACCGGCTGGGTTATGGATGATATGTGATGATAAAGAAATTCACAGGTTTATATTAAGTATGTCATCAGTGAGGAGACTTCGCAACGTTAAGGATATACACAGGCACCTACGTCTCTTAAAAGTTTAGCCAGGATGGAATATATGTGCCATAGATTCCGCTGCTATTCACCAAGGGAAGCTACCAACCAAACCTAAAGGGAGGAGGCGTGTAATCAACAGAATAACGTGTTTTCGACCCGGTAGATTTATCAGCCCTACTGTGCAGTGCTGTTAATCATCAAGTAGAATGAAACCACGTAAAGTACCGTTGCCAATGCACCTACTACACAGCTAGTCCTAATTACTGGATATCGGAAGCGACATTTTAGTACTACCAACCCTGACACTATTTATTGCGGTTAAGGATATATATTCATCCAAGAAAGCAAGACACACATACGCTTTAGAAGACAAATTTATCTTTATTAGCAAGATATGTCACGTTCTTTTAACTATCCGTAGGCAAAATAACAAATGAAGGGTAAGGATGAAAACGAAATCGTCGAAGACGAACAATCGTCTCACTCATAATGTTCAAATCATCGAAATGTGTTGCCAACTGATTACTATTTTGTTAACATATAGTAGGGTACTTCAAAATCAAGTAGGAAGATTGACAAACATTCATTGTTATACTTATCAGTTGTATACGCTATGTGGCGTAAATAACTTTCAACTATTTCACTATAGGCACAAACTGATGATGCATAATACACTTTTTAAAATCTATCCATCTATCTCCAAAACGACAAATTTTCAATAATAAGTAGTCAAAATTATTATAATTATAGAAGCACATATGACAGTCACTTACTTGTTCTTCGCTTAAGCCTTCACTTTCCATCATTGATTCCAAAATTTTATATCTATATAGGGATTAAAAATGAAGAGAACACTTCCATCAGTACATGTGAATTAAGTCTATATACAGCAGATGACGTTAATCACAACCAACAGCTGGAGACAAACCATGTCATTGACTAGTTATATCAATAATGAACGCTTATTTTTAAATAAACATTAGGAAGGTTTATCAAATAATGTGACGTGATAAATGTTAAGTAAAATATGACGTGTGCGTCGGTGGCACAGCGGTTAGGACACTCGCTGACCATGCACCTGGTCGGAGGTTCGATCCCCGGCCAACGCACCCAATTTCCTCGCCACACCAATAATAAGACTGGTAAGGAGGGAAGGTTGGGCATGAGGCTAGCAACTCCATCCTGCAAAAATAAACAGTCACCACTGCTACAGAAACTTCAAGCCTCTAGCTTGAAGCCCTATGTTCCACTGGGAACGTGAAGGAATTAATAATAATAAATATGACGTAACAATCTCTTCCTAGCCAATATTACCATTGTACTGTCGAAGAAAGGCTTTATAAGACAAACTAAGCACTTGAACTTAACGCAGTATCATGCTAAAGGTTATTCAGTATATAGCATAAACATATAAGTAGATGTGGACCCATGGGATAACCCTTCTAAACTTCTATTTAGTTAGAGAAAAATGTAAAATATGTTAAAAGTAACTACCAGAATAAGTAAATGGGCAATTTATTTGCCACAGTACATACATCATTTTAATGCATTACAAGTTGTATGGACTTTGGATATCCATCTGATAGGAAGCTAAAATTACGGTAACTGTCCTTTACTTTTTACAAATACGACTTAATCATAGATGACAGCAGTTTCCATATAATCAAAAACAAGGAAACATCAAGTAGAACAACGTTTAATTAACAGGTCTAACCAACACCTGAGAGCATATAGTTCAAGGAGACTAATGCATATAGTAGAAAAAATACGGGAAGTTCACATTAGCATAATTTTTGTCTAAATGACACTCAACCACATGAAAATACAACGTAAGTCATTATTTCACTAGACGAACCAATAGTTTAAGGAGGTAAGTGGAACAGAGGTGCATCGATTAAAGCAACCACTATTGATCCCAGTACATAACGAGATAAACAAAGCATGACACTATAAAGTGAATGAAAAGGGATAATCATTGGCAACTTCAGAAAGCATAACAACTGGCCACACTAGCTTTAAGGGAGGTAGGTTCACGCAAACTATCATACATTAGTATTCTCATACCCTGAACTTTAAAATAAACATAAACTCCACGGTGTCTTATAACACATTACAATTATACAAACGAATAATCTTACAACCAGAAATTAAATTTCTGCATGACCTTTAAAGTAAGGGGATATAATTTGATGGGAATGTAAACATTAAAAAATATGGACTAACCTATTTTGACGTTCTCGATATTGAACAATCAAATTATCGTAATAATATTCCAATGTAACTTTGGCAACCTTTACTTTATCCAATGTATGACTGCTGACGTTTAATGAATTCGAAGGGGGATTTGCACGATTTAATGATGTGGTAGATGATGACGACGTCAGATCACCGCCTCCGCCACCACCAGAAACATTTATCACTTGACTACCAGATGTCATTGATATGATGTCGGGTTTTATCATTGTTGCAAGGGGATTTGATGTTAGACTGAGATTGCTATAAGCATGTGAACTTGCAGTTGACATATTTATTTAATTTTCACCGTTTCGCTTTAGATAAGATTATATTTAACATAATTGGTGCCCAATAATCACTCTACAAAAAATAATAATAAAGATTACTGTCTGGGTTTACATATTTACATATAGGATAAAATACCTGTGTAAGTTTGTGAAATAGGTGAATAAAGACCTTGTTGAAAAAGTCTCTATTAAGTCGTGACAACAACCAAGAGATATATAAACTTTGGAGCCCCTGAAAGATACATATTTAACATTACGAGTGACTGTACTCCAATAGAACTTCACCTCGTCACAATCTATTTGTACATCAAGCGAGGACTCGTCAAAACAACCTACGAACTGGGAAAGCACACTTTAGCCCGCAAACAATATAGCTAACAACGTGAGACAATAATATGAAGTGGAAAAATTAACAATAAGACTGATGTACATAACTATCAAATAGTATCAAGAATTTTTAGATACACTCCTTCATTTAGGTCATACAGTTACTACGAGCAAATTTGAATCGAACATCGGAGTAGTGTGAAAGCTGTAAAAAATGTAGTTCAGCAAGATTCCAATCATAGAAGCTTAAGGTTTTGCGATCAACAATACGCGCTATCTGCTTGTGATATCATAACTTGGTGAAATATGGCAAAATTTTACACAGAATTTAAAAATATGACAAAGTTTACTTGACCGTACCGATTCTTTAAAACACTTCATCAATTAAGTTGGATGAGAAATACCAGGAATATATTCTTTATGTGGCACGCATAATTATGAAGGGCTTTCAAACGATTAGACGAGGGTATGTTCCAAGTACTCTATGCAACGTATATCAGGCCTTATCTAGAGTACTGCGTACAAGCGGTGAGTCCATGCTTCAAAATGGAGGCACATACCCTGGAAAGAGTACAGAGGGTAGGAACCGAATTAGTTAGTGGTATCTCACACCTTCCTTATGATAAGAGGATGGAGCATTTAAACCTCTTCCCATTATCATACCGAAGGAGGAGAGGCGACTTAATTTTGGCTTACCGTATATTCAAGGGTGATTTAGGGATTGACCATTCAAACCTATTCTCTCCCTCTAGGATACATTTACGGGGTCACCAGAAGAAGGTGCTCAAACCGAGGTCGAATAAAATACGTTTGGAGTTTAGATTCTCTCACAGAGTGGTCAACGACTGGAACTCCTTACCTGATTCAGTAGTAACAGCTCCATCGGTGAACCCTTTCAAAGAGAAACTGGATCTCTGCAGAGATATATATCGCGAGGATTAACATAGGCAACAAGAGCCTCCTATCCTTATAATCTGAATCTGAATCTATGATGAAGACATGACAGATCAGCGTAAAAATTTAGTAGCCGCTAACCGAATATTAGATGGGTATTACAATCTCCAGTGATAACTAAAACACTGATCAATATAGTTATTTACTCCCCGCAATGGATCACTGAGGCCGAACAAATGAAGTGTGGAACTTAGGCTTCCTTATAGGGTAATTAACCATTTGAACTTAGAATAAGAACTAGTAGTGTTAGCTCCTTGAACCACCACTTTTAAATCTAAACTGGAATTCTATAATGAGTACTAGAAGAATTTATGCAGGCTACTAGCCAAATATCCTAAATTTAGAAGATATCGTGATGGGGGTTCATATTAGCATTACTTTCTACTGATAACTATTATTTGCCAGGAAGACGTTTTATGAACGACTGTATGAGTCACACCTACTGTTTGTACGAGGGCTGAGACCACAGAATAGTTGTCTGTGACTAAGTGGAAGATTCAAATCAGAGATCCAGTGGGTGGAAGCCGAACGCTCAAACTAATGAACCAAATCTCTGCACAAAAATACTTAGGAATAGCGAACATCCTCAGAACTACCCCTGGGAATTTCAGCAGCCAACACTAGAATCATGAGTTACATTTGGTTTTACCCGTGTACACTTCCCCTTGGTCATATTTGAGGTAAATGTGAGGGTGTTATTTTTGTATTTATCTACACAACGATGCTTAAGAGGACGGATCCCATAAGTCGTAGTATGAAGGTATCGAAAGTGAACAAATTTCCCAAAACATTGAGTAACTATGGTAATATCACCGTATCATACGGGTCAATCTATTCAGAGAAACTCAGTTAATTCTGCTCTCATATCCACAGTCTAGTCTTCAGAACTGATAACAGTTATTCATGCTATCCCTGCGAATTTTCATATTAATAACAGTATTTCGCCTTAACCACATGCACACGTACAAACCGACGAACAGCTGTCAGCTTACCGAGAAAACTTTGTTTTGAGCGCTAAGCGAGGTGAAGGTCTTCTGCTAATATTTGCTGTAAATATTTGACGCCAATGTTACAATGTCCTTCATTGATACCATAGTTGCAGCATATAGGTGATCTGGGTTTTAGTGACTTAGAACTTAAATTTTTCAGATGAACTGGGTAATCCTGAGCAAATATCAAATTGGGTAACTCAATCCGTCCTTAAAGGACGGGAACAACGCCCCTCGTTAATAAACTAATTCATAGTCTTAACATGAAGGAGCACGGATCATGGAATACATTTATCCCCACAAGCACTTCAGAGGCAATGGATATTGACATGGAGGCACAAAACACGAAAGATTACTCGTGGGATCAATAAATGGTGAACTACAATTTGACTGCCGCTACCAAGGCATCTCTATGAATTGAGAAAGGCCAGGTTCAAGCAAAAAGAATTGCGCATTGCTTTGCAAGCATTCTTAATCGGGAATCATCCCTACACTCTGAATCAGATCTAGCTGGGTCACTTTTGAACAGAATTATTTTATTTTCATAATTATTGTCCATGCCCTGACTTTCCAGTGAAACACAAGGCTTCAGAAGCAAATCTTCATTTCGCTAGGTTCTCTGCAATTATTTTCGACTGGCTCCGCGACTATCCACGAGCTTCCATTTCATCTTCGCGTGACATTCCTCATTTGACCTGTTAAAGTAGTGGGAGAGAGTTGTTCTGTGGAGTCCTCAAAAATAAACTTATCCAACTTTTACTACTATGTGAGAAATGAACATATTGTACATTAATTTGTTTTAACCAGAATCTCCGTACTTTGCATTTAACCTCGTGTTTTGAATGAAAATATAGTTCTGCCTACAACTCTCCGTCGTCTCCACCATCTCAACTGCCATCGGCCAATTCTAATTACCTATCTTCTATTGCGAAATTTCGCAGGGACGCCGTAATTCCTCCCTACGTTACCTTGGCCGACCTCTGGCAATATGGACAGGGGAGAATTAAGATTGGAGCAGTCTTCTTACAATACTTCTGGAGTCTGTTAATTTAATTGTGGATTTTGGACCTTGTAATAACTTAAGTAGCAAATTTTAATATATTCCTCCAGTAACTTTACGGATTTAGTATTTTTTTATTTCTATTCGAATCCGGGATATTAAGCTAGCTAAGTCTAAGGTCCGACACAGTTCTGCTGTAGGGACTCATAAACAGTGCATTCTATGGAGGCCCAGAAGTATTGAATAACCGAGAAATTCAGGAGGATAGAACGAATAAACAAATGGGAACTACATTTTCTTTATGATCTATAAGGCCTTCTTTATCTACTAATTAATCAATGCCCTTCCGTTTGTATGACTAGGTACTGCCTACTTCACTTACCCTCTGCCGTACTTACGAAAATAAATGTCCGTAAAATGCGTAAGTCTTCTGTTTTATTAAGAGTCGTCAGTCAGTAATTTGAGTAATTATTTTGATATAAACGTTGGTTTCTGGACTTTCCACTATCTCCAGTAGTGTGGACTGACAGAGCCCACTAAGATTAAGGCCAGTATTTCTACTTTTAGTAGTATCGATAATCTTGAAAATCCTGACGTACAGATGAAACACTCCATGAAACGCAACGTTGCTTCAGGAAAGTGAATTTTGTGTAACAAATCTATCATTAGGATTGAATGACTGAATAGCATGCTGGGTGTGTATGGTAGAGACAATGTCATAATCCCGGTTTCGCAAAGCCATTCGACATTGTTCACCAGAATATTGTCCTTCACTAAAGGGAAGGCCGGCATTGCTGCCCTGGAAATTATTTCTGTACGAAAGTCAATCGTGTTTGATCATCCTGGCACCGTTCAGCTTCGCGAGTATCACAGAGTTATATCCTTAGGCCACAGATGTTTTAGATTCTTATCAATTATCTGTCATTCTCTCTAATCTTTTGACTCTGGTTTGCACCGATGATATATAGATTTGGAGAGCAATAAAGTGGTCGGAATGCCCAGACAGTATACTAGAAGACTGGGCATTTGTCAGCTGTATGACTTTCAGCTTGAAAAATGCAGACTAGTGCGATTAAGCGTCTTCAGGCTGCATAATGTAAGTTACTCTCTTTGTAACGGGCAACTTCTGCGTAATGTCAGAGTGCGGTTTAGGTCTAGTTCCAACCGAAAAAGTACACCAGTGTGAATTACATGGATGACGCGGAGTAGGGAGAAAGCGACTATATACTTCACACGTAGACAGTTAGGTGTTCCCACCCCTGAGAGTGGCTTAATGGTATACGAGGTCGCCTTGTAACCAGAAGGTCCTGGGTTCGAACCCATGTGGCGGGTGCGTACTGCTGAAGAGTCCCAAACTAGGACGAAACAGCTGTCTAGTACTCCCAGGTTTTCCAATGGTTCTCTAACTAATGTCAGCTCATGATGAAAATCCTGTAACCAATCAAATCCCTACAAACCAACACTTGAAAATTATAGATCACCAGAATCACCCAAACACAGATATTTGACCATTAGGTACATATAGACTATCTCTTTGTAACCCAGTAAGTATACTTCAACACAACGATGGCTCAAGTGCGCTACCATCTCCCTTCACTTCTGGCAAGCTGCTCCAGGTACTCTTCGCCTGCAGATGAGGACACTGCGCTTCCCTTAAAAAGCTTTAAGAGGAGGCCGGACATTCCTTCACTGACACAAGAACTGTGTCCCAAAGGTCTGTCTCCTTAAAACTA